AAACAGCCCCATGTTTACTGATGCAGCCTTCTTGGACTGGCTTTTCATTGCTCATCCCTGTGGGTTGCAGAGTAGCGGGCAGCTCTTCTCCCTGGAGCCACAGGATTGTAAGCTCTGTCCCGCAGTGGACGCATCGGAAACGGTGCTTCAGGAAACGGTGGCGTTGCAACATGGACAGAGAGCCTTGGGGTGCTTGCACTGAAGTAGCTCAAGGTGCAGGGCAGTTGTCTCTGAACCTCAGGCCATGCCCTAGATCAGATTCGGTGGCTGGATGGCTAGCCAGGTGGGTGTGTGCAGAGTTTGGCCTACCTGCACCTTTATTTGTATGCGCCAAAATACACCCTAGGCATCCATATTAGGACAGTGAAAAAAGAGAGCAGCACAGGTGATCTTAAACGACCAGCGCCACAGAAGGGAAGAGCAGGGTCATCCTGCTCTACTCTTTGAAGGCCATTCGGGGCCAGATTCTGCCTCAGGTGACGTATAGGGCCGAAATTTCCAAGAGCTTTGCTAGGTACTGTTACAAACTACTGGAAAGATCAGAAAGCAGCTCATCTGCCAGTGGTCTGGAGCAATTAAGTCCTCAGTCACAAGCGGGCTACATTCATGCCAAGAAACCTCCTCAGGAGGCAGAGTGAGGCGGACACCTCAGGCGTCCGATGGTCGGAGGCAGCCACAAGGTGCTGGAGGAGGACGGAGGACATGCTCGCCCGCGGCTAGGAGTTTTGCTGGTGCAGCTGTGGCCTCAGGTGCCTGCCAGAAAGCATCCCGACCATGGCACAGCTGTCTTTTAAAAGGAGTGCAAAGTTGGGTGCGTCTGCGAGCTGCCAGAGCTGCTTTTCCCCAGAGAGAGCGGGTGGGATGCACGTTCACCTCTCCGGAGTAGCTACAGCCTCAGAAGGAAGTGCAAATGTGCATCGCCCTGATGATTGTAAGGGCAAAGGGCTCTTGTCGTGAAAGGGGTGTGGCTCCTGTTGCTCGTGGTGAAGTCGCACCCGACCCATCGTGACCCCACGGACCACACTCCCCCAGGCCCTCCTGTCCTCCGCCGTCCCCCGGAGTCCACGCAAGCTCACGCGACTGCTTCAGGGACCCCACCCAGCCCCCTCATCCTCCGCGGTCCCCGTCTTCTCTTGCCATCCACGGTTCCCACCATCAGGCTCTTCTCCAGGGAGCCCTTCCTTCTCACTAGGTGGCCAAAGTATGGCTCTTGCCACTCCCCATTTTGCAAGCCAAAGTCACTCTCCTTGACAGCCGTCAAAAGGGAGCAGAGGGAGGAAAGAACCCATTTGGAACCGTTCAACATTGTCTATGCAAAAACAGTATTTTAAAATGCTTGCTGACCACTCACAGCCCCTCCCAGGTATCACTTGGGATTGTTGGCAGCTGTCAGTCAGGACTGCAAAAGCCGGGGCTTCACAATTTCCAAGGGAAAAAATAGATAAAGGGGCAAAGAGCCTCGGTGAGCTGAAAACTGGCTTACAGCCATGGTGAGGAAGCAGCAAGCCGACGCTAGCCGCCCGAGGCCGCTGGGGCCCTCGCAGAACGTCTTGTCCGGAGCAGCAGAGGCATGGTGCTGCTTTTGCTCGGTGGCTCGGTAGCCAGTGCCTGGCGCCCACAACACAGTTGTTCACCCGGTGTCAGATGACACAACAGCCTGTGGGCAGAACAAACCTGGAGTGGCTTGTGTGGCACGTTGGGCGTTTGGTGGGCTGGGCTGGGCATCCCTCCTCTGCATTATTCTCACAACGGCTCTGCCAGGTAGGTCTTCTGGCGAGCAGACAGGTGCCCAGGTAGCCACTCGCTTTAAGACTGCTGGCAACGGGGGCAAGTGGCGTCTGGCTCACGGACTTTTCTAACGTGCGCTCTGCTTCTCCCTTTGCAGCGGAGCCGTTTGCTGCGCAGGATGGAAGCAACGAGGGGAGGAGTGCCCGACACGTAAGCACGAGCTTCGCTTGCCCTCCCTCCCCCCCACCTCTGTCCCTTTCCCAGGGAACTACCGAGGCGCACCGCGTGGGCTGGGGCAGGGCGAACCCCTTTCCAGCCGTGCCTCAGACATCCCCAGCGCTGGCAGTCCATTGGCTCGCCCACCCTGCTCCCCGCGGACCAGCCAGGCCCGCATGTGAGCGAAGCCGGGAAACCAGGTGCTGCCAGGCCTGCCCCACCTTCCCCAGTGGATCCCTGTTTGACAGGAAAGAGTCCGGAGACACGGGGTGTTTGGAGAGGAAGACAGCCGTGTCTGGGCCCCATAAGGGTTCGGAAAGGGACACAGCAGTGGCGTGAGGAAGGAATCCTTGGGGCCACGGCTTAGCTGAGCTGCTCTGGGGGGCAGTGACCTCCCTGCTCCAAGCAGACAGTCACGTGGCCTCGGGGCCCCCTAAGCGCCACAGGGGGCTTTGCAAGGGTGTGGGCCCCTGCCCTAGCCAGTTGCTGCAGGCCTGCGGGGGTCGCGGGGGTCGCGCTGCTTACATCCAGCACCGACCACGTGTTGCCCGGCTCAGTGGGGCTCTTGGTAGCCCCCTGTGCAGAGTGGCAGCCTCGCTAGAAGAGGAGCTGCGGCTTGGCTGCCCCCCTCCGTCCCCTGCCGCTTGGGGCCGGGAGTTGGATCGCGGCATCCAATGGTTCTGTCTGAGATCACTTCGGAGGCGTCTTGCAGCAGAGTGGGGGGAGTGTGGGCTGTACATTCTTGGGACTTCGAGTCCCAAGGCACTGATGGGAAACTCAGAGAAGCTATTTTTAGCCGCTGTTAAATTCACTGCTGTTCCAGCTGGCTCTGGCCCCCTTTCTTTCCTGTGGAGTAATATTTCTCCGTGCTGATTAGCAGCGGCCACATTTGGCCTCTTGGGCGGTTGGCCTGTCTGTGGAAGCAGCCAGGCGGCTGCGCTGGACTGCGGTCCAGGCTTGGAAGCTGCTGGGCAGGGAAGGGTCCTCCTCCCAGGTGCGCGAGGGCCCCTGCCTCTGGGCACGCTCTGTGGGGCTTCCGCACGGAAGGCGAGCAGGAGATGGAGAGACCAGGCTCTTGGGAAGCGATCCACCAGGACATTTGCTCCTGCTGAAGTACGAGGGAATTCCTGGGGTTCTGGGGTTAGCTCTTGTTGGACCTATGGGTGGTCACGCTTCAGAGTCCTCTGAAGGCACCGGATGGGAGGAAGATGTGCAGCAGACTGGCAGGTTGCATGGGAGCTCAGGTTTGGCCCGTCCTGGTGAATACAGAGAGAGCTGCAAGGGATCTTGGAGGTCATCTAATCCACCCCCTTGCCTGCTTCCTGGCTGACACTAGTTCCAGCAACTGCCCCTGGGGGCCATGGCGGATCCAGACCTGGCCCCAGCTCCCCATGGCTCTGTCCTGGCCCCATCCAGGAGCTGTGCAAGACCACCCCTCCCACCTGTGTTTCAGGGGAGCATCTGGGCCTTCAAGGCTGGGCCGAGCCTCATCGCAGAGTCACAGGACATGCGGGGAAGAGGATGTGGGTGGAGGGGATCAGACCATGGTGCATGAACATGAGTGCAGGAAGGCAGATTCTCCCTCCGCCTGCGCATGTTCGATGGAATGTCGAAGACCCCGCACATGCGGAGGAGCATTCTGCACACATCCTCGTGCCCCTGTGCCAGTGAGAGGCTGGGCCCACCCTCCCCTCCCTGTATCCATTGTGCTGTGCGCACTCGGAGCACTTGGAAAGAGCCAATAGGCTGGCTGGTCAGCTCTGAAGGGGGACACGCAGCATGCCCCGCCCAGCAGTGGCCAATGTGGGAGCAGAACGCTGGCTGGACGGACCTTGGCTTCATGCCATGCGTGAAACATGCAAGTCACAGAAGAGAGCTCTTACACACTTGGGCCTCGCGCACCCCGGGAGCTGTGCCTTCTCGGGCTCTGTAGTGCTCACTGTCCCGCGGCATGCAGAACGTCTGAGGCCCAGTCGCCAGCATCTCCAGGTGGGCAGAGAAAGGCCCCTGGAGAACAATGCCAGGCAGAGGAGATGGTTCGCCAGCCAGACCAGGGCTGGGATGTGCCCCGGAGGCGATTCGCTGGCGGATTCCTCCTGCCCTGCAGATTGTGCTTGAGCCTCCTCACGTGGCGGACAAGCCTTCTCCGGTGCAGTGCCCTTCCAGGATTTAGGTCCCCTCCATCCCTCAGCACCACCGTCTTGGCAGAAGCCGATGGGACTTGTACTCCACATTGTTTGGAAAGCTGGAAAGTGCCACAGTGCAGAAAGCTGAGGGACTCAGTGTCTGGCTGGGGTTTGCCCTCCTTGGAGAGCTGCAGCCAGTCTTGGTCGGGGGCTGCCTGGCACTGCGGCAGGCCCTGCTCTCTCTAGCCCCATGCAGCCAGCACTGACTGGCAGCAGCAGCGGCGGCGGCAGCTTCCAGGGTTTCTTGCAGGCATTGTTCCAGCCCCGCCTGGAGATGGTGGCCATTACGCCCAGTGCTCTGCCCCTTCCTTCTTAACCCACACGCAGTTCCCACGGCCAAACTCCCACACTTGAGGTCTGTGCCTGACATGGCAGAACCTGAGCCTCTTTCAGAAGGCGCCCCAAGATCGCCTGGTGCCGGGTCAGTGGGGAGGCGTTGCTGCCCATGTTCACAGGGTCACTCCTGTCACAGGGCTTTGGGGAAGCCACGCAGAAGGACCCATCTTTGATCTCTGGGGCAGGCAGCAGCCCTCTCCAGCCGGGTGCCCTCCAGACAGGTTGCACTGCCACTCCCATTATCCCCCGATGGTCCCCTTGGCTGGGGTGATGGGAGTGGCAGTGTGGCCTGTGGGAAAGGTTCCAGACTGGAGAAGGCTGGGGTCCCGTCCAGCTTGTGGAATGGTAGGAGGCAGGCAGAAGAAGCAAGCAAGGGGAATACAGGGCGTGCTCAGTTCTGTATCCTTGGATTGAAGTTCACTATGAAGGAGGAACTCGTGGGGTCACTTCAAAGGCCTTGGAGGGGCATGGATTTGGGGCTGGGCTGTGGAGGAAGAGAGCGGTGAGAGGCACGCAAGGAGGGGGAGGCACAGGATGGCCGAGGTGGGGGAGCCGGTGAGCAGAGACCCGACCAGAGGAGGAGAGTGGTGGGCATCCCCTCGCCTTTGTCTTGGGCCAGTGCCCGCCGTCTAAAACCAGCCCTACTAATATTAACCCCGCTGCGCTGCGCTGCATGTCTCTTCGCGCTGCTTTCCCAGAGCCTCTGGGATCGAGTGGGCTCAGCATTCACGCCCAGGGGTTAGTGTCCGTGTCGCCCCGGCACCCTCTTCTCAGCCCCTCTGCTCAGGTGGGAGACCCCCAAAGAAAGGGTGGCTTGCTCCTCTGTGGTCCCTGTGTCTGAAGGCAGAGAGCCAGGCCCCCGTCCCGGGGTCTCCGTCCGGGCGCTAATCATTTCGCCGGCTCCTCCTTTGCATGTGCTCAGTGCCTGGTCGAATGCTAGCCAGACGGTTCCCACGGGCAGGAGCGTTTCCTCCACGGAGAGGCAGGTAAGTCAGCGCTCGCCTGGCATGTCGTGCATGGCGGGAACCGGGGACGAGCCTTTGGCTGCACGCCGGGAACCCCACTTCTCCTGTATTAACCCACTGCTAATACTCTCTCTGTGCCTTCATAGATCTCTCTCTGGTGTCCACCCGGGGGCTTTCTGGAACCTTCACTTGCTTCCTCACCACCTCCCCGCCATCGGGTGCCTGTTCACTGGTGTCCCTGGGGAAACGCTTTGTGTCAGGGCTGTGGCGCGCCCGGCCCCGGACCGGCCCTCCTCGTTCAGGAGCCAAGGCTGGCCGAGCAGCTGAGGAAGGATGGGTGGCCAGCACCACGCCCTGCGCTTGGGACCCAGCCGCAGTCAACCTTCCCGCCCTGAGCCTCTTGGTCCAGGAGCCGCCCCTGGGGAGGCTGCCGCTGACTCACTCTCAGGAAGGACCCGGGATGCCGCAGGTGGAGGCCGCAGGGTGCGTTCAGGCGCGTGGATGCCGGTACCTCGGCTGCCCCAGCTGGCGTGGGCAGCAAGCCCCAGTCCAGCTTCCAGAGAGCTTCTGCAAACGTATTTCCCAGAAAACGCGCCGGGGCTTTCCAGAGAGACCGGGGTGGTGAGTGAGCACCTGTGGAAAAGAGGCCCCTGCTGGGAAGGAAGGCACGCATCCCAAGGTCCAGCAGATTCAGATGAGGCCAGGAGGGGCCCTGGGAACCAGCGCCCCAGACACTGAGATGGGAGAAGTGGCAGGGGGGAGGGGGGCTTATCTCTCGGCCGCCCTCCTCAGGTCTTCCGGCAGACTCTGAATAGCTGGGGCCTGCAGTTGCCGGCAGAGGGCTCGGGACGAGAGCTCCAGGAGCCGGCTGGGCCTGGTGCAACTCCCGACCCACTGGCTCAGTGTGGGGAGAGAACGGCAAGCCCACTCGAGGGGCGGCATGCGGAGAGGAGGCCTGCATGCCTCCAGAAGGGCCAGGGGGACTCAAAGAGAGGCTTCTCGGAAGTCGCTGCTAGGTGGAGTTCAACAAAGGGTTCTTTGCATGCTCAGAGACTCCTCGGTGGTGGCTGTGCTTCCTGGATGTACTTGGAGAACAACGAGCCCTTGCAAAGGCTCTGTCTGTAGCGTTGACTGCACCAGGGGGGCACTTGCCCCCAGCCTCCGAGGCTTGCGGGGGACGCTTGCAGCAAGGCCCGTGCAGGAGGAGAGGAGGGCTGCCTGGCTGCCCAGCGGGGTGACGGGAGGACGCTGCCTCAGCCGGCAGTTGGGCCAGCTGGAGCGGCCGAGGCCTGTCATGCGCCCGGTGTGTGGGGGAGCTGCCCGGGCCGTCGGAGGGCCTTGCCCGCTGCTGGAGCCTCGGCTCTGCCAGGCTGGGGAGTGCAGGCTCCCTCCCAGAGCCCCGCTCTGAGCTGGCAGGTGGCGGCGGGGCTGTGTCCTCTGGCCAGGGCGGCCCAGACGAGGCCCTGCCCGGCAGTCTTTCCTGTGCCTTGCCCTCATCAGAGTGCTCTGCTGCACGGCGAGAGGCCCGAAGACCGGGGCCGCGGCACGCCCCCTCACCGCCTGATGTTCCCAGCACCGGTGGGTCTTCTCCTCAGTCCCGCTCCCCATGCATGGCAGCTCTTGGTGAGGCCTAGCCGGGGATCCAAACCCCTCCAGGAAGCCACGGGGACGTGGCCCTCCCCAGGCTCACCCAGTGCCGCTTGGACCGCGCCACCCGCGGAAGCTGAGCGCAGCATGAGCCCCCGCTCACGCCCAGGCCTTTTCTCATGGACTGCCTTGTTCTAATCCGCCCGCTGGTTTGCCACCCAGCTGAGCTGCGCTCCCTGAGAGCGTGGCTTGAGAGAATCAGCCTGCTGGCCACGCCTGGGCTCTGGGCAGGACCGTGTAAGTGGGCAGAACCTTCCGGAAGGACGCACCATACTGCCTGTGGCTGGGGGCACTGCACCGTTGGGGGAGTTGCTTGTTTGCTTTTTATAGGAGTGGGAAGCAGAGGTCACTCGACAGGAGAAGCTAAGAACTGAGCAAACGACACAGTGTTAGGTGGGGAGGCCTCACTGATCTCTCAGTGAAAATCACCCCTCCATGATATCACATCAGGTACAGCGGTCACTCCATTGTCACCTCCCCAGCTTGCCCCCCCCCCCCCCCGATTTGGTGCACTGCAGTACCCATTCTCCTCCAGACAGAAGGACCATGGGCCAAGGTGGCTGACGGTGATTCGTGCTGCGGCCCAAAACACCTCGAAGGCACCAAGCTGGGATGGCAAAGCTGCTCTGCATTGTGTAACTTATGCAAGAGGGCACTGCAAGGAGGCCCAGAAGCCAGGGAATTATCACAGGACATAGACTAGGAACAGGAAGTGCAAATCCTGCAAAAATGTGTAGTATGCGAACACTCACATTTAGACGTCGTTATACCATTTTGTTGATTGCAAAGAACCATTTACACCACCTCATATGCAGATATGGGCATGACTGGGCCTAATCTTATTTTTAGGCCCAAGCAACCCCTCTTGCCTTAAGCAACAGGAAAGAAGCCACACTTCTGGCTTGTGTTCTGCCTTCGCTTCCACCTGCAGGAGGTTCCCCTGTTCTCTCCAGCTGGAATTCCGGGAGGGAGCTCTGAACACAACGGGACTCCATTCCACGCAGGCTCGGAGACCAACACCGTGTCATCTGACAGGCGCGTGCTCCCGTAGTTGTGGAATGTGTGCCCATGGCAGGAGTCCTTTGCGGGCTGCAATGACCTTTCCGTGGAACCGCTTCCTGCCCCCCTCGTACGCCTGCCGGGCCCTGTGGCGCGTGGCCAGCCACTGGCCAGGAATCTAGCTGATTGCCCGTCGCCATCCAGCAGGGCCCCAGTCCTGCTGCACCTCTGCTGTGGGGGGGAGGCTTCTCCAGCTGGAGACCCTTCCATTCCCATCATCCCCACCACTTCTGGGCACCCCAGCAGGAGGACGGCCTCTGCAGAGGCCCATGTGGCGCAGGCGGTGTGGCCGCCCGCCACCCGCTCACCCTGCCCTGCTCTCTCCCCGTAGCCGTGTGCGAAGGGAACTTCACCTGCAAGGACAACGAGGTGTGCGTCAGGCCCAGCGAGTGCCGCTGCCGGCACGGGTACTTCGGCGCCAACTGCGAAACCAGTGAGTGCAGGGTGCCCGGGCGGTGCCCCACTGGTGCGGGACTCCCTCGCGGGGGCCTGCCCCCGGAACCTGGGGCTCAGGGAAGCACGGGAGGAAGAGGCTAGGCGCGAGCCTCGGTGCCGGTTCTTGGCTGCCGAGGCCCGGAGCGGGCTCTTTCTGGCAGGGATGCACGTGGCCTGCACCCTTTGCCGTGAGGGGCGAGGAGCGGCCGCACGCTCTGACCGCAGGGAGGGCCGAACGTCCCGTCTGGCAGGAGCCGCTCAGGAGTGGCGGCGGCTGAGGCTTTGCTGTGTGCCCGCAGAGTGCCCTCGCCAGTTCTGGGGCCCCGACTGCAAGGAGATGTGCCAGTGCCACCCGAACGGGCAGTGCGAGGACGTGACAGGCCAGTGTACGTGCAACGCCAACCGCTGGGGGCCCAAGTGCGAGAACGCCTGCTTGTGCAAGCACGGCAAGTGCGACCAGAGGACGGGCAAGTGCTCCTGCGAGCCCAGCTGGTGGGGGCCGCAGTGCTCCAGCGCCTGCTACTGCAGCCTCAACTCACAGTGCGACCAGCAGAGCGGCAGCTGCCTGTGCCAGCCGGGCTGGTGGGGGCGCAGCTGCAACAACCAGTGCGCCTGCAGCAGCTCCCCGTGTGAGCAGTTCACCGGGCGCTGCCAGTGCCGCGGGCGCACCTTCGGCCCCCGCTGCGACCGCTACTGCCAGTGCCACATGGGGAAGTGCAGCCAGGTCGACGGCGCCTGCACCTGCGAGCCGGGCTACCGGGGCAAGTTCTGCCGGGAGCCGTGCCCTGCCGGCTTCTACGGACAGGGCTGCAGGAGACGGTAAGACGCCCCCCAACCCCCCCCCCCCGCACGACGCAGGCTGGAAATGCATGTCCGCAGAGAGGCTGCTAGGGAAATGCCGCCTCTTGAGAACAGAGCCTCTCCCCGCTGGGTGGCTGAGTCCTGTTTCGCAGGAGCTCTTGGGCTGCACCCCGGTGGCCGGGGGGACCTGGGGGCGCAAGGGGCGCCACAAATGCAAAGGCGACCAGCATGTCTCCTTGTGCATCTCTCCCTGCCTTGGCACAGGCGCTCCATCCTGCTGTGATGCAGGGAGAACTGCATGAAGCTGGCACCGCCACGTGTGCAGCGGTTGCCGGAGAGGCAGGAGGCTGCGGGGCCTTGGATGCTCCAGACCATGGGTCCTCGAATTAAGGCCCAGGGGCCGAATCCGGCCCGCCACGCGCACATCTGCGGCCACACGCGTGCCCACTGCTGCCCACCTCACCCCACACACCGTTGGCTTGCTCGGAGAAACCAATTTCCAAGCCGCTGCCTCGCGCACCTGCCTCACCACACGCGCACGCCCCCGCCTCGCCTCGCCTCATTGCACATGCCTGCACGCCCCGCCCCCGCCCCCACACCGGCCCGCGCGCACCGCCGACACCCCCTCTCCGGCCCACACCCAGCACTGGCAGCTTTCAACTGGCCCCGGTGGCAAAATGTGAGGCCCCCTGCTCTGCCCCTCTGGGGATCCAGAAGCAGCTCCTTCCCGCACACTCTGCTTGCACGTTCAAGTGCAGGGAGAAGAGGAGCTCCTGGCACGCTGCACCATCTGACCCCTCCTCCTGTCAGCAGAGTCATGCCCCACCCCGCCCCGCCCCATGGCAGTCTCAAATCCATGCGGAGGGGCACGCGGGATGGGCAGCGGGCCAGCCCCCCCCCCCCCCCCCCCCCCCCCCCCCGGGGGCCCCACAAAAACCGGGGGGGGGGGCGGGGGGGGGGGGGGGGGCCGCCCCCCCCCCCCCCCCGGGGCCCTGCCGTGGAAGCACCAAGAACAGACGGGGCTCGGCGAAGGGCCTGGGTGAGCCGAGCCACGCGAAGTGGGGCTCCAACACGCCCTCACCCTGCCACTGGGAGGTGGGACTGGAGTTGGGGTTCCCCGGGGCCCTCCAGGCCCCCAGCAATTTGAACACTGCTCCCTTCAGAGTGAGCTTTGCTGTACTGAAGCCTCATGCAACCCGGGGCCTTCCAGAAGTGCTGGGCTACAGTTCCCATCATCCCTGCTTGGCTACTGCTGCAGCGGATGCACCACTCAGTGGCCGAGCGCTGTCCCTGGCCCCCGGTGGTAAAGCAAAGCGGCCGGGGCACCAGGGCCCTTGCGAGGAGACCGGGCCACCGCTCCCGCCGACGGCACGGTTCCCAGCGACCTCTCGGCGCGTCTTTTCCAGCTGCGGGCAGTGCAAGGAGCTGCAGCCCTGCACCATCGTGGACGGTCGCTGCCTGGCATGCGAGGCAGGCTGGAACGGCACCAAGTGCGACCAGGTCTGCTCTGCAGGCTTCTATGGGGAGGGCTGTGACCAGGTCTGCCCCCCCTGCAAGGACGGCCACACCTGCAACCACATCAACGGGAAGTGCTCGCACTGCAACCCTGGCTGGATTGGGGACAGGTGAGCCCTCTGTGCGCGAGGACCGGGCTGGGGGGCAGCCCACGCCCAGGGGGCCGTCTCCCGCTCTCTGGGGCAGCGGCTGCAGCTGGGCGTGCAGCAAGGAGAGGCGCAGGCAGGCGAGTCGCGTGAGAGCCGGGGACCAGACGGTTCGCGGCTGGCCGGGGGCCCTGTGGTGAAGTCCGCAGGGGACGTGGGCAGCCCTGGGGCGGTCAGGCGAGCCTGCAGCATCGGAGCGAGAGTCCTCTGGCCTAGCATTCTGCCCACACAGTGGCCACCTGCTCCCCTCTGCACGTGCCTTCCTGAGCCCCCTAGAGCAAAACGGGGATCAGTAGGACGTAAACCCCTCGGCCCCCCATCTGGCCAGAGCAGGACTCCCCGGCCCCGGCCTGAGCCTAGAGCAGGACCTGCAGCTTCAGGACCTCTCCTCTAAGCTCGGAAGCACGGGGCAGCCAGGAACTTCTCGGCCATCCCAGAGCGCAGGACACAGGATCACGGGCTCAAGTGGCGGGAAGCCCGGCTCTGGCGGAGCGACAGGAAGAGCTTCCTAACTCTGACCATGCCGCAGTGGAACTGGTGGTCTGGGCAGGGGGTGGGCTCCCACACCGGGGGCGTCACAATGCAGCTGGGCGCCATGCTTGCAGTCCTGCGGGCCTTATCAGCTCCTTCCAGCTCTGCTGTTCTGCGATTCTGAGCTCCAGTGGCACTTTCGCTCGATAGACCCACCCCAACACCAGCTGTGTCAAAAAATGCAGGAACATAAAGCAAAATGTACTATAGACATATAAAATGGCTTGGGAGCTACTTAGGAGTGCCAGACGCAGCTCGCAAGGGCTTCTCCGGACCGTGTGGTGTGCAGGTTTCCCTCTGGGAGGAGGCAGGAGGGTCTGCGGGGCCCCTCCACCGCGGTGGTCCCTGAGCCGAGCCTGCTCAAACTCCTGCGGGGGTCCTGCTGCGTGGCCGAATGCAAAGCCTGGCCTGGCTGCAGCTCCTCCAACAACTGAGTCCGAAGCAGATGGCCGACGGCCACAGCGGGAAAAGCCGCCGTCGCATCGGGGGCTGGAACATGTTTGGAAAGGGCGGGTGCCAGCAAGCCTCGTTCCTGTGAAGAGGAACCTCAGAGACGGAGTGCGTTTGGCGTGGAATCATGGAAGAATAGAGCTGGAAGGGGCCCTGGAGGCCATCGAGTCCACCCCCTGCTGTTGGGGGCAGGGCGGGGGCAGGCAGCCACAGCTACCCCTGCTGTACCTGGAGGGCTGCAGCCTATTCTCTGTCATCGGGGGGGGGGGGGGGGGGGGTACAGGCCAGGGGAGCACAGGCTGAGGCAGGCTTCAGGCAAGCATCAGGAGAAGCTTCCCAAGGGCCTGGCAGCCAGAAAAGGAGCCAGCCGCCTGGGGAGGTGCTGGGCTCTCTCTCGGCTGAGATAGTCAGCTGAGGGCCAGAGAGCTGCCTGCCAGGGATGCCTCCGCGACTCCCGCACCCACGCTGTGTTTGAGGGCCTCTGTCACCCCATCCAGCTCTGCACTCGCAGGCAGCGGCTCCTGGTCAGCAGGGATGTTGACCCCCACATGCTCCTGGGGCCCGGCCTCCCTGCCCCCTCTGGGCTCAGCCGCAGTCCTCAGCACCTGTTGGAGGGGGCGGGGGCAAGACTGGGCGCTTTCCTGTTGGCGGAGCACGCAGCCTTCTGGGTGGCTGGTCCTGAAGGGACAATGCACCCCCAGCCGCTTGGCAAAAGGCCACAAGGGACGGCTGGGCACCAAGGGAAAGGGGCAGGTGGCCACAGCTGTGCCTGACGAGCTGCCTCGGTCCCGTTCCAGGTGTGAGACCAAGTGCCGCAACGGGACCTACGGCGAGAACTGCGCCTTCGTCTGCAGCGACTGCTTCAATGGCGAGTGCCACTTCGAGACGGGGCGATGCCTCTGCAAAGCCGGCTTCCATGGGGCTTCGTAAGTGAGCTTCGCCAGGCGCGGTCGTCCGGCCCGCCGGGCTCCCTGTGCACCAGGCCATGCGAGGTCTCCCCGCACTTGCAGAAACATCAGCGCTCTTGGGGAAGCTGACAGGGGCAACTCGGTGCCCAGGACACACTAGGCAGCATTGTGCAGGGCGCCAGGCCGCGGAGTGCCACGGCGCATGCTCCCCTTTGGGCCCTGGGGTTTCGTGGAGCACCACCCACACATTTTCAGGGATGTCATCTCTTCAAAAGGAAAGCTGAGAGTCTCGGGATAATTAAATTCTAGGCCAGGTACAAAATGTTGGATTGCTGCTTTGCACGACTTTCCAACAGCCTCTCCCAGTGAGGTGCTCTCCGGGGGGGTTGGGCTTCAACCCCCTTTGTCCTACCCAGCAGGGTTGAGAGTCAGGAATGCTAGGAGTGCTGATCCGCGATGCACAAAGAGCACCAGGCTGGAGAAGCAGCTCTGTGGCCGTAAAATGTGCGTGGGCATCGCTGCCCACGGCTTGCTTTCATCTCTTCTGCAAAAACTCAGGCTGCACAAAGGCAGTTTCATCATTTGCTTGCTCCACGTGGGCCCTCCCCTTGCTCCAGAGAAGGTTGCGTGCATGTGCCTCCACGGTGCTTTCTCATGGTCCAAGCAGTTTACAGGTCTGGGACTGTTGGGAAGGAAGGCAGATGGAGAAAGGTTAACCGTAGCGAAGGAGAGTTGGCAGCCGCCTCTGCCCCAGGGCAGGCTTGTTCCCTCTTGGCCCAAGGAGGGTGTTGGCAGCTTGCCCCAAGCCTCACACTGAGCCCCAGGCAGGGCCCCTGAACGGACTTTCCCTGCACACCCCCCATAGTTTTGCAGCCTGGTCTTAAAAGGGTTGCAGTCCTTTGTGTTTCTGTTTTGCAAAGGCAAGGCTACTGACAAGCTGCTAATGGCGGCTAATAACTTGGTGATGTAAATTTTTAAAGCTGCTGGGTGAAGTACCAAGTGCTTTCTCTTTCCTCATGTGCTTTCTCTTTCCCCGTCTCTTGGGAATTTAAAAATGCATGAAGGGAAGCCACAGCCCTGAAAGAAGGCAATCTGGGCATCCTGTTTTGAAACTCGGTTTGGGCCCACCAGCCTGGGAGAGATCGCCTGACAGTGCGCCTGGGTGCCCGGCCAGCCCTCCTCTGGTGTCCTTAGCAGAAGCAGGCCATGTGCTCGGGATGAGTCATCCTCGCCTGCTGACTCAGCTCCAGCTCCGTTCCACAGTGGGGCAAGAGCTTTGCTTTCCCCCTTCTCAGCAGAGCCGGTGTCTTCAGCAAAGCAAGAGGGTCTCTCTGGAGGCGCACATGGAGAGCATGCCAAGTGCCTGTGGTGCAGAGCTCGTCCTCTCACTCCTTCTGCAGCACCACTTCCTGCACAGGTCCAGCAGAGCTTCAGTTACTTTCTAAGGCAGCCTTCCCCCACCAAGGCTCTCCCGGGCATGTTGACTCTAACTCCCCTCATCCCCAGACAGCAGGGGATGGGAGTTATGATCCAACACACCTAAAACACATCAAGTTGGGAAGGCTGATGGATTGGGTCATCAGCATGATGAAGTCAAGAGCCGAAAGGCCAGGAGGAGTTTTTGGCAAGAGGGAGGGAGGATTTGGGGGTATGATTTGGTGCCTGCATCCAAAACTGGAGCAGATGAGAGAACATTCTCTTAAGCCGAAGCACAGGAGTACTTCTGCTGCCTTCAGGGGGCATCCTCCAAGGCAAAACGATGTGGAGCCAAGCTGGAAGTGTTCTACAAGGAGGTAGCAGGGCTCGGCGGAGCCAGCCTGAGCGGCCGATGGGACACATTCCTCGCTGGGGCTGGGAAGAAGGATGCGCCTCTGTACGAACGACAAGTGTGCCGTTTGGCCCTTGCCTGAAGAAATGTACGTGGGCTTCCATCGCCCGACGCTCGCGAGGCCAAGCAGCAGAGTTCTGCAAGTAGAACTGTGGAAGGTGCCCGTTGGCCGTCCCCCCTCGTGAGGTCAGAGGCGGTGGCTGCTTGCACCCGCCAAAGGGCTGTGCGCATGGCCGGCTCGCTCCTGCTCTGCGCTGGGGTGCATCCCCACGAGGCTTGCGCAAGACAGCGCTGATCGGTGTTGGGAGGCTCCCGCTCGTCTTCCCCTGGAATCCGAGCGTCCGGGCACATGCTGCCCCCGTGGCCTGGTGGAACGCGGCGTCTGGCTGAATCCCAGGCTTTGTCAGCAGATGGCAGGAAACCCTGCAGCACATGCTGAAAACAAGGCCTGGTCAGGAGATGCTCGCTTTGGCTCTGGCTCTCAAGGCAAACGAAAGGGCTGCGAAGGGGTCTCGGCGGTTCTTCCTTCTCTCTAGCAGAATAAAGGGTTCGCCCAAAGAGGCGAGGGCGTGTGGTGCCCTGGTGGCTTGAGTGGGTGATGGCTTTCCCTTCTTGCCCACCCGAAAACAAAAGAACAGCGCGAGAGAGCCAGAGGTGGGAGGGCAGGATCCTGTTGGCGTGTCAGTTCCCTCGTCCCCTTCAGGCTTTTCTGCTGGGCTTTGAGCATCACTCAAAGGCAGAATGGCACCGTGCATGGTGGACTGCATACAGCTGCGAGCAACCCAGGACCAGCATATTCTGGGAAAGGCACTTCTGTGTCGGAAGAGGCCCTCCTGGGGGCTCAGCGCAGGTGGAGCCTCGCTGGAGTGGAGCGTTTAGTGCCCTGCTCCCTCCCTCCCTCCCTCCCTCCCTCCCTCCCTCCCTCCCTGCCTGCGCCATTCCCCTCCAGGTGGCGCCGTCTGGGGGCACTGCTTGTTCTCTGTCTGCTAACCTTTTTCTGAACAAGCAGCTTCTGGTTTCCTGGGATAACTTACTGCTATTTTTATTCTTGTTGTTTTCTATACTGTTCATCACTTTTAAAGCTATAGAGCAGGTTACCATTTTACTGCCAGGAAAAACAGTATAATACAATAACTGCAGCCCAATAGTTACAGCCCTCGTTGGTGTTATCAATGTTGCATTATATATGAATTCCCCTTTTCCTGCAAGGACAACAACTCCTCCTCCATTTTGTCCTAACAACAACCCTCTGAGGTAGGTTAGGCTGCAGGTCAGTGACTGGCCCAAAGAGAGCTCCATAGCTGAATGAAGACTTGACCACTGATCTCCAGAGTCCCAGTCCTGTACTCTCACCATTAGGCAAGCCAGCTCTCTGCACCACACTGACTCACACTCATTGCAGTGTGCAGATGCAGTCTTCAGCCAGGAGTTTACAGACCAAAACCAGGGAGGAATAGATTTGCCAGTTTGGGTTTCACTCAGTTGATAACTTTTCCAGCACAGAGTTTACCCACAGTCCTGCACATCATCCCGGTTTCTGCATCAGCACTTCATTGGGTTCAAGCCCACAAGAAACACGTCTACATTTTTGCAAGCTATTTTCCCTATTTATGCCGTCGCTGAGCACTCACTCTCTGAGTTGACTCTGGGCAGCTGTGGATGCACCTGGCGGTCGCTCCATCCAGCCCACTTTGAGCTGGTTCGCTGATCCATGGGGCACTTTGTCAAGGGCTTTGTGAAGTCGAGATGGATTATGTCCACAGCATTCCCAGGGTCCATCAGGGAGGTGACCCAACCAGAAGACGGAACCAGATTGGCCCAGCAGGATTTGTCCTTGAGGAATACATGCTGCCTTCTAGTAACCACTGCACCGTTTCCAAGGTGTTTGCAGACCGACTGCTTTATAATCTGCTCCAGAATTTTCCCAGGGAGTGAGGTCAGACTGAGTGGTCTGTAGCTCCCCGGCTGTTCTTTCTTCCTTCTTGAAGAGAGGGACGACATTAGCCAGTCTTCTGGCACTTCCCCGACATCCATAATTTCTGGACGAGAATCGGCACTCTGACAGCTCTTCCAGCCGCTCCTTTATGACTCCGGGATAGAGTTCGTCAGGCTTTGGAGATTTGAGCTCATTCAACCCAATTAGGAGACAGGAAGTTGCAGGTCCTCTTTTGGGAGAAGACTGAGGCAAAGGAGGCATTGAGCACTTCTGCCTTCCCTGTCACCTGTTACCATTTTGCCATCCACACGGAGTAGTTGAACCCCCATTTCTTTCTTTTCTCTTTTACTATGGACATTTTTGTTGCTTTTATCAACCCTTGGTAACCTTAGTTCATTCTTAGCGTCAGCTGTTCTGATGCCACACCTGCAATTCCATGCGTCCTGCTTGCATTTTCCTTTGTAGCCTGTCCTTCTTTCCGCTTCCTATCCTTCCTTTTTTGTTTTTGTTTTCAGATCATCGGTAAACTTTTTGTGAAGCCACAAGGGCTTCTCCTGTTGCCTTCTATCTGTTTTTGTTGACGGAATTGTCAGTGATTTTGTCTTTAGAATTTTTTTTTTAATTCCCACTCATTCCATACCCCAGGTGCCCTAACTGTCAGGAAGTACTTCCTGGCATCCAAATTGAACCTTGAAGCTAGGGTGTGGAATGGGCTTCCATGGGAGGTGGGTGAGGCCCCCTTGGTGCGGGTGTTCAAGGATAGGCAGGACATGCACATGGTGGGCATGTCGTGAGCCAGCTGGAGCCGGGGGTCAGACTAGATGGCCCAGGAGACCCCTTCTGACTCGCTCAGTTTCTATGCTTCTGTGTTTCCTCCAGAGAAACCACAAACCTGATGAGTTGGGGGGGGGAGGGGCTTCAGGACATGCATGTGTTTCCATTGTATGCAACAGGGAGTCTCCCACAACAAGCCCCCGACTCGCACTGGTGTCAGCGCCACTCCGTGGCCGAGCTGCAGCCCTGGCCCAGTCATGCGCGGGGCGACGTGCAGGCCCGCCACTGCCTTCGGTCTCCTGTAACTGGAGGCAAATCCGAAGCGCCACCACTTCCCTGCTGCAGAGTGTCTTCCAGTTCTTCTGCTCCCAACTTTTCCAGGGAGTTTCCTCCTCGCTCTCCCTGGCCTCATATGAGTTGCATAAGCAGCCTCACTAGCAATTAAGAGAGCAGAGGGCTGCAGTCACATGCCCTTCATTC